TATTTCAATACCCTTAAGATACAGAATTATAGCTCTTTGTAGAAATGTGGCACTCTTCTACATTGTTCTTTTTAGCTAACTCTAACATTTAAAAACCCCAAATGTTATAGGAAAGTTAAAAACAGGGAATGATTGTTGGTGTTTTTACAGATTTACGTATTGTATTATTCATTTTCGGTATGTATTACAGATTTCTTATTCATAAATGTCGATTTCATTATTCTGTTTATAACGTGACATTCGTTTCTCTTTTGTGATTTTTCAATTTTATTTTCCAATTAAGTGTCGATTTTATTAGCTCTGTTGAAAAAAAAAGCATGAAACTGATACGAAAATCAAGTTCAATTATAGAGAAAAATCAAAGGAACAATGATGTTTCTCGCTTACTTTGTGTATCTGTCGAAATGGGGGTCTTATCTACATTATTCTTCTTAGGAATCTCTAAATTACAATATTTTCTGTTTTTTACTTTTTTGGTGTTTTTAGAGATTTACGTACCGTATCATTTATTTTCAGTATGTCTTGCAAGTTTTCTATCCATAAGTGTTAATTTCAATATTTCTGTAGCAAACCTGCTTATAACGTGATATTCGCTTCATTTGAATGACAGATAAAACTGAAATATCATTCAAACCGATTTTCTTATTCAACAGAGATTGATAATTTTTTTTATGCATTTCATTAATTATAATTTTTCATGCATTTCATTGTTCCTTTGAATAATTGAGGTTGATTTTCATGTTTCTCACTTACTTTCACAAAATTCATGAAAATCAACCGTTTCTCGATTACTTTCACAAGTTATTTTCGTTTTTCGTGTTTTCGATACTTATCTCTCATTTCATTTTCTTTTGTATCATTTGGTGTATAACATAAAGTAAGCTATCACTATTTATCTGAGCCATTTAAAAAAACATCATTTGTGATGGTGTTTACACATTTATTAAAATGATCCGAAATACGATTTTCCCATACATTTCATAAAACGTAGATTATTGCAAATATTGCATTTTTTATCTAGATAAAACATTGTCGCTCGGTTTTAACAGCAAGTGGATGTGAAGATAATCGCAGACGGTCACATTCGTACAGACGTAGGCACAGAATTCGTAATTATCATTCCAAGAACCAAAAGCCCCTCGTTGGCCCTCCAGCACGTTATCTTGGGCACCTAATAGCCGTTCCGCATCGTTATAACTTTGAACGTGCTCATTCGGCAAGATAAGACGTGGCATAGTTCGTGGATGTTCATCTGAATAGGGTGGTTGGAACCCAAGTTGTTGACGTTGCCTCAAACTGGACCACTATTTCTGATCATTATTTATTTGAGCCATTTGCAACAACAGCGCAACCACAGCTAAGGGTAAAATAGGTAAAATGTACGACGTCTTAAAATCTTATTTAAGAAATATTATCTACGTTAACGATTTAATAACATTTGTATGTTGAAAAGATAGTTGCCGATGATATTACTCTTATTATAGAAGCAGATTCTCTTGCTAAGTGTTACAAAACAGCAAGTGATGAATTGCTTTCTATTGCCATTTGGCTTATTGAAAATTGCCTAGTTTTAAATATTCATAAATCACAGTTTATATGATCATTTTAAGGGAACAGGTTAATGCCGATTTGAAAGTGAATGGACATGTTTTTATTCAGGGTTGATTCAGTTAGAATTTTACACAGAATAACTTAAATGAGATAAACAAATAGAAATAACTTCTAAAAACTTGCTAGAATAGTATATATGATATGGTGTAAGAAAGTGCTTCCACTTCATGTCATCTTCTATAGAATAAGTACAAATTTCTATGCATTAAGACCCATCTGGTCATTAAAAGAGTTGGTCTTCCATATAGAGCATCTGTGACCAGCAAATATAAAGAATATGGAGTTTTGACAATTTATCAAGCCTGTGTTTACCGATTCATTTGTAGTGCAAAGAATATTACATTATTTAATCCTGATATGAACTTGTTAACTCTCTCCAGAGAAAGTTTGTATTCCTTTCGGCAAAAAAAGAAATTACATATTCACGAAGTAATTCCGTTTTGAGGTTCAAGTACTTTTTTTACTTGGCTGCGATTGTTTTAAATAGATAATTTAAATTAGATAATTGATTAACTTCCAGTACCAAGTTATTTAAAATAAAAAATGTCCAATTATGTATATTATAATTACTCTATGATTGTTTTAGCATATGGATAATCATTGTGTATAGTTCTTTTTGTATTTTTTGTTTGTTGTTTTCTATAGTTACTTATCCATTATAGCAGTAACTTTATGGATAATAAAAAAAAATTAGAAGTATAAGCAATATGTCGAAAAATCGAGGGATAAATTCATACAAAAAACGCTTTACCTGCACTAATGAATTTGTGAGAAAATATTGCCAGAATTGTCATTAAGAAACAGATGACACTTCCCTTCCAAATCAGCTAGCAAGGGTTTTAGCTGATAATCATACTTACAAACTGGAACATCAACATCCTTAGGACCTTTAATTAATATGTCATACCTAACTTTATGGTTACCCCATTCCAACAAAGTGAAGTATATTCTGACGAAACTGATCACATCTACTTTGTCATCTACTTTGAAAGTATCTGGGCATCTCTTATGGTTGTCTCTGTCGCTTCTGAGCCTTTTCAGCATTGTATCTTACTTTCTGTATGATATCTTGCAATTCTGCTGTTTGTTCATTCACAGTTTGAGATGCTATTTGGATATTTCGTTAGTCGGTCCTAAGGAAGCAAGACCTCTTCTCCCAAATGGAGTTGGTCTTGCATGTATTCTGCAGACTAATGAATAAAAGTATTAATTGCAAGAAAAAATTCAGGTAAATAATCTTCCCAAGTTTGGTGAGTTCTCTTAATGTAAACAGATATCATTGTATCTATATGTTTATTTATTCTTCCAGTAACATTATAATGAGGATGATATGGAGTTATAAAGATATGTTTAATCCCCATAACTTACAAGTTTCATCCATTACATGAGACACAAATTGGGGTCCATTACTGTGTACAAGAGCTTTTGGAATACCACATCTACACAAGTATTCATAATTAGTTTTTCACTATTACCTTAGCAATTATTTGTTCAAGAGGATGTAGTTCGACCCATTTACTGAAATAATATGTTATGACCAAAATAACTATTCCCGGTAGTAGAGTTAGAATATGGTTCCAAGAGTTTAGTACTTTACATTAATCCTGCTGGCCATTTCAGATCAGATTTTGTGGTTTAAGAAACTTGATATCATAATACATAATTTGTAATGTCCTGTTTCATACCAGGCCAATAACCATGTCTGAATACTTTGTCCACGTTTTTTCTAGCATCTAGCTTTAGGATGATCATGCAATAATTCTATTGACAAAGCTTGCCTCAGTGTTTTTGGAATAACTGGTCTGTATTCAACTTTGTTAGTAACTCTTTGTGTGTAATTCAAGACATATTGTTTTGACATATTTCAAGTCTCTGTCACTTTTCAACTAAGAGCAAATATACATATACTCATCATATTTAGTTTATTCAGTAGAATTTAGTTTATTCGAATGCTAATATTAAAAATAACATCCAAATATGGAATTTCTTCAAAGAGAATGTCTAGATCAGGCAAATAGTTCTCTTTTGTGGTAAAGTTTGAAATGAAATAATTGTATCATCACACATACCCAAGATTCTTTGGTGTTGGGAAACTTTTAATAGCTTTCACTTTGTTATCATATATGTTCTTTCTCAGAAGTAAGTTTAAGTTCTAAATACGATAATTCTAGTTTGCAAAATTTGCTTTTAGAAATGTTTACCATAAAATTAGTTACACGAAGCTTGTAGATAATCAACTGTAGGTCCTTCAGGTGTTGTTCAAGTGTAGGTAAAAATACTATAATATCCTCAATATAAGCTTTTGAACATTCATTTGCTTCTACTAAAGCCTTATCCATAAGTCTTTGGAAAACAGCAGGTGCATTTCTCAGATAAAAAGGCATCACTTGAAATTTATAAAGTCCATTATCAGTTATGAAGGCGTTCTTTGTCGATCCTCCATTTTTACAGGTAATTGCCAATATACATTTGATAAGCCTAAAGAAGTTGAGGGCTCAATTAACCTAACATGGAGCACTTCATCACGTAGAACTTGTGGAAGAAGAGTGGTAAGGTTCACTAAACACTGGCTTTTTATTAAAGATTATAATACTATGTTCAGATAAATCTGTGAACCAGGCTTATTGTTTAAAATATCTGCATATTTTAATACAAATTGTTTTAATTGTTCACAGTCTCTACTCGTTCAATGTAATTACTGTATTTCTTCTATTAGTATATTTCCAGCCCTGAAGTCATGCGTGTTACGTATTAGAATTTCAAATGGTCTGAAACCGAGTTAACTGATAATTTTAATTTAGTAGTTAAATTGTACTTTGGATTTAGTATTTAAATATATGCCGATATATAGTCAATTTATGATATTTGCCAACAAGACTGATACACAATTGTTTTTAATATACGTTTTAATATACACACAATAATACAATTTACGATAACAGTTATTACAAATAGTTATTATAAACTAAAGTTTCGCAAACTTGCAAGCAGTATAAAGTCTTCTTTTTTTAATCTGGAGCTTCTTCGATGTCATATCGAAGGTTCACGACGAGCGAGTTAATTACGAGTTGACATAGGTACAATTCGCTTAACGGGAAGCTAGCTAGTTTTGTTTTCGCTATTTATCGGCCACACACGTCGAGTTTTCCACGATGAATTTATATAATGTTTTCGTAAAAATACTAATGTCCGATGAGAATCCACTGAAGTTAAATGATTTGTAATGCTCGAACTTTGTAAGGGTTCCTGGTCAAATATCTCAAGTTTTCCAGATGATAAGCTTATAACAACCATAGTTGTAGCTTCCGAAGTTTGTAGCACACTGATCTAATAATAGATACTCTCCTTTTGGTGTGTTATGTTGGTTATATTTATAGGCATGTGGAGGCTTTATAGAAATTTCAGTTTTATGTAACAACACTGGTGCTAACACAAGCGTTTACGTATACACATATCGTTGATTTTTTCTCTCGAGAATCTTCTACAACTTTGAAGAATAAACAGGAGTATCGCAATACATATTTAGCAGTATAAACTATGCGTGTTTCTAAATATAAACTTAATCTAAACAAACGTTGTTATTAAAGTAAATATATAATAACAAATTCGTTACAACTCTCTCATTAGAGAATTAAAAATTGGCTTTGGAAAAGGGACCAGAAGAAGAAGAAATAATTCCGAAAAAATGAAAAATATTTTAAAATTAAACACTTTAATATCAAAAACAATATTGAGCAACAAACAGCAATAATTCATTCTAAATATATCTCATGACTAGCTAATTTACATAATCTTTCAAAATACTAATATCTCTATGTCACCACTATGTGAAGTTCATGTCAGTTTCATAACACAACCATACTGAAATTCAATGTGTTCTAACTAGAAGGTGAGCTAGCATTTTAATATAACTAAAAATTCTTATTTGAACTAAATGAGGAAAGGAATAATAAATTAATGCTAAACAAAACAATAACAAAATAAAAGTCGAATGCGTTATCTCACACTCCTTTTCCCTTTGAAAACCAAATTGATGACCCATAAGGCACTGCAGCATTGACCCTTGAAAATCCGAAGGATAGAGAATGATTTTTGTGCTGGCATCCAAGATAGGCAGAACAGGTAAGGGGAGTCAGGAAAACAGATCCACAACTGCAGGACGAGTACTGCCTCGGTCTGATCCGGCTGATGTAGATGTGGTACTACACTGAGGCTGGATGAGTCTAATCTTTAATGACTTGGTGAAGCCAATACCTGCATTCAGATCTTCCTGCGAAACTTTTCAGCTGTGCAACGTGTCGGTTTCCTGCCTGTCGTGAACATTTCGCCCAGCAACTAACAGCCTACTCAGAACTGGCATAGATTTAGAGAATCTGACTGTCTAATTAAACCAGAACATGATCACTGGATGATTCTAATGCAATGTGATGTCTGCTCAGTGCTCTGAATGTCAGTGGAAAATTCAACCAAGCACGAGCAACCAGCAGGAGTAATTATGACTGTCTTAACAGAAGGGTGACTCAAACTATCCCCAATGGGAAGGGGTAGAACCAACTGGTTTGTTATAGTTATATTATCCACACTATCCTATAGAGGAACCTCCCTGCAGCATAGCTGGATGCAAGGAAGCCCTGTAAACACCTTCATCCATGAATGAAAACACTAAAAACATATGGTATGGCCTCCAAGTGACCCAACATCATTTTGACTTCATCCATGTAGATTAAGATGGAAACCTGGTGACTTGTTCCATCATGGGTTGTGGCACACATACAGAAGGACCACTAGATGCATCCCAGGAGATTTCCAAGTCTTAAAAGGGAAACATGGAAAGCTCCAGAAAGAAGTTGACCACAAAACCCTGATGAAGGTGGCAGTGGTGCAGACAAGTCAAATGGCTCATTCACCGGTTCCAGCTGTTAATATCGGAGCATCCACATCATTGGCAAAACTGGCAGAAAGAGAAAGGATCTATGCTGCTGTGACTGCCAAAGCACTGATACGGATGTCACGTGGATCCTCCCAGAAGAAGGTGAGTGTAGAGCTCCCTTCCAGGCCATCAAAGGCAATACGAACTGGCCTACATTGGAGCAGATTGCAGTAGTTAAATGCCACTGTCAGGAGATGACAGCCAAGTGAATAGAGGCCTGGGTCCTATACAACCAGAAAGAAGATAAGCTGAGGCAAAAGGAAACCCAGTACCTGTGGGGCAGTCTCGCTAAAGATGAGAGACACCTGGGACGGTACAAATTGACCTCAAGGCATCCACTGCCACCAAATGAAAGATCAAAATGGCAATGGAAACCCTGTTGGTGAGTGACGTGATTCCTCAGCTATTGTCTTGGGTGATTGTATATAATGGAAATTTAAATGTTTTATTATGTGTACAAATAGACAAACTGTCTTCCCATGAGCATGTATACATATAAGGTAATGAGGATACCTAAACTGTTTTATTAATTTTTATTATTATCTTTTTAATAGTGTAAATGGATCATAGATTACGTGTAAGTTTTTTACATATCAATTTTGTTTAAAATTGTTTTTCTATTTCATTTTAGTATTTCTTTTGTATTTGTTTTTTCATCCTTTAAGTGGACAGTGTATCTGCATTTCTATTATTTTTGCTTTTTTTATTTATGTAGTTTAACATTTTGTACATGTAAAATTGTACTAATCATTGCTTGGTTTTTTTTTAAAGAGAATTTTCATGTATTTTTGTTAGTTTTTTGTAAATTACCTGTTTTTTATTATTATAATAGTGGATTCTTTGATTGTTTAAAAGTATGTTTGGTTATGCATTGTATTTTAAATTATGTTCTTAATGGTTATCTTATATTTTGTAGTTATTTCGTGTATTTCATTGTTAAAGGGTTTGTGCTGTCCATGGCATGTAAATGTTACAAATAAAATAAAATATGCGTGGATCATCTCACAAGATGATTGGTTTTAAAGTTAAATTTAATTGTTGTCCTGAGAACAAGCCTAAGAGAAAGAAGGAAGGAAATGTGTAGCATGTGAGCATATCATATAAGTTTCAGTTTCTATAGTAATATAGGAATTTAATTAACTTTTTGGTTATTACATTTCTTCCTTCATTTATGTTCTAGTAGCTGGCATATCACCTGCCTGTGAAATATTGCAATGGAACAGGGAGGATCTGGGTACGTTAAGGATTAACATTATATCTCTTCACTGGCCAATGATGACATGGATAAAAGCAGCAGCTGGCCAATGTTGTGCAGAAATAATTACCACGAGGTGACATTGTAGTCTGGACAAAGAGAAGAAGCTTATATGGTCTAAGTGGATTTTCTTTATTCTATTCAGTGCAGTTCGGATTTTTTCTGCATTTGTAACATTACAGAAACTAAGCTATATGTGCAAATATTTTTGTTGTTATTATAGGGGATAATTAAAGTAATCAATTGTACGTGTCATTTGTCGTTAACTAATCCCTTTGGGGAAAATATATGCTCATATAGATTTGTACAAAAAACTATAATAGAATTGAAAATAATTCTGATTATTGTAGGGTAGGGCTGGAGTTGTGGTATTTTCAGATAAAGCTGATTTATCGACAAGTATCAGATAGGCAAACCTGCTGATAATAGATTCGATCAAGAGTGTTCTGTAGTTGATAACTTGACTGAGTTTTAAGTTGCATAAGATAATAACATATTGGACACATTTCAAATACAGTGAAGACAATATTTATTTGGGAACAAGAAAAATAAACTGAATGTAACTCCATATACAAGTAGGTGACCATATTTATTAGATCAGTAAATAGCTCGTCTTTTTTTCCATACCTCAAGATGAATTTATACTGAACTAGACACGATGAATACCGAGTAGAATTAACCAAAGAAAGTGCACGTGAATTCAACAGGTAAACTCACCTTGTTCAGCAGACAGTATCACCTCGTGACCTTTGTTTTCTTACAACATTGGCCAGTCATTTCGTTCAAACATGAAACTACAGTGCTAATTCTTTCCACTCGGATTCTATATGTTACTGCAATATCCTCTCAGTCAGAATATAGAAACTAGTACAAGTTAATCTCAACAGCTTTATAGAATATATGTTGTCGCTATTACAGCATGGAAACTAAATAACAAAAAGAAATAAAAATCTAAATTACTAAAGCAGATAGAAAACATGATTATGTTAGGGGAGAGTTGGAGTAATTAAATGACATATCGCATGTAACATTTAGTGGTATTAAAGTATCGTGTAAGGGCAATAATATACTTGACAAGCTTCTACTCATTCCTAAAAACTTTTAATACTGAAAAGTTCCCCCCAAAAAAAAGAATTTGTGGTATGAAAATTTGGAAAACGAATTAATTTGCAAGAGAGTAGAAAACTGGTTTTGCAAAGAAATGATGTTGTAACATTGTTCTTTTATCCGAGGGTTTTTTAAAATTATTTTGTGAAAATAATTCAACATCCAGCACAAGAAATAGTAACAATTTAGTTTATTTCTTCTTAACATCCTTTTACAGGCTTGTACACTTTGTGTAAGCTGCTGTAGGTCTACATTAACAGCCATGCTATCTGCATTACACTAATGCGAAAATAAACTTACCAATTTAAAGTAACTCAATATGTGCAATAGCTAACACAAATCCAAAAATGTAAATACACTGTTTTTCTCTACTAGCTAGAAAACAACAGTCTTCTTTATGCTTCACTGCAAGCGTACTTAGGCAATTGACTGGATCACCTATTTTTATAATCCAAACTCTGTTTTAGATATTTTGCTAAACCTCTCATTCATCAATATTTCCAAATATTCTAGAACTAAATTGATATTAACGTAGCGCACTCCCTAGCTAACATCTAAATTACATTAAAATATAGCTTATAATACTACCACCTTCCTGGACTGTAAAGTATCTTAAACAAACACCTAATATAAAAATAAAACTCTACATTAAACTGTTCATTCACTAAGTATTTTTTATATTTTTCTCTTCCCACGCCCACTATACAAATAGAATGGCATTTCCCCCTAGCTGTCCTGTTCCTAGGGGGATTTATTCCTAAATAGTTGATTGATTGAATTCATTGGTAGCACCATCCTTGATTATCCTTTGGAAACATTCTAAACAAGAACTCTGGGCTCCTCAGCAGGTTGAGTTTCCACTGACAAGTACTTCTCTGGAGTTACCTAGTTGGTCGTTTTTTCACCAACATATTTCCAAAGATGATTACAGTGGATAACCTTTGACTTATCTATTCTTCGAACACCTACTGATAAGAACAGCTCAGCAATGCCATATAACCTCAATGAAATCAAAACTTGTCAGCATTTACATCACAACTACCTTTCATTTTATCACAAGCTGAGTACACCATGTACGACACCTCTTTTATTCACATCTACTAAAGCTCTTCTGACCATTAATCCATCATGATGTATTAAAGAGTTTGGTTCTATCGCAGCCCAGTAAATAAATGTAAAATTTATTTTTAATATATCCTGGTAAAAGTATTGCACTTCTTAGTGGTGCAATGACTACCATACCTGTTTCAACTGGAACTTCAACTTCTGGTATAGTAGTGTTCAGAGATTTTCTAGTCATATACTGTGAAGCTAGCCTACCTAACCTCATATCTATGTTTCTACATGCAATCAGTTTCCAATATGTACTCTTCCTCGGTGTTAATTACCCATACATTATGAGAAACAGAGAAGCTTACTACAGTAAGGGAAACTTCCAACTACTTTTTCTGGGACTTTATGTCCACCTGCTGTTTGCATGAGTCCTTCCTCTTTCATTTTTGAAGACAATTTCCCACCTTTCATTACCAAATTAGGTCGAACAGTTGTAGCTATAGAACCAATTTCCACCAGCATACCGCAAGGTTTTCTATCAGTAAGCCTATGGACTCGTTAACGATTTTTCTCCAACAATTAACTTCTTTTCTCATTTAGGATACATGAAATATTCTCAGCTGATCTTTGCCCCATAAATCATGCCAGTTCCTGTCTTTTTTTCAAGTCTAGTTAGCTTCTTGTTGTTCATATGACCTGGTTGGGCCCAAAGATACATTCTAAGGGTATTATCTCCTTAGCTTAACAACAGTCGTAGATTCCTTACAGTATCAGCTGTGGTGGCCAGGTTCCCCACATATATAACAGTTACTTTGAGAGAAGTTCTTATCCCATACATGCCTTTACCTGCAGTTCCTGGCAATATATCCCATATCTCTGTTTAACGAATACTTCTAGATCATTTATACTATCAACAGAAGAAACTGATGTTTGAATACAACAGTTTTATGTAACTTTGATGAATTCAAGTTCCATCACCAAATGTAGAGCTTCCTTTAATGATGTGCATCTATTTTGTTTCAGCCTGATTCTTATATACTCATCTTCTACGGCAATTATATATTGGTCACGTTCCAATAAATCTATCACTTCACAAGGAGAATACAGTTAAGATAATTGTGTAAAACTTTCCACACCTTTTGTAACTTTAGTTATTTTCTTTCCCCTGTTCTGGTGCATCAATTCTAAACCTGTTGAATAAAGCAGCTATTAATGCTTTTTAGTTGTTGCAACTCTTAGATGGAAGATTATTTAATGTTATCAAAGCTACTCCTTTTAAATAGAAAGCAAGATGGATGGCTTGTTGTTCACTATTCTACCCATTCACTCTGAAAATGATTTTGGAATAACCTCATCATGTCTCCCGTGATAACTTTCCATCATACTCAGTTGGATTCTCTTTAGGCCCATTCTGAATTGAGCAACTCTGGAACTGGATATGATCAAGTACAGTCGAGAAAGGTCCTTCAGTAACAGGTGCAGTCGAGAAAGGTCCTTCAGTAACAGGTGTAGTCGAGAAAGGTCCTTCAGTAACAGGTGCAGTCGAGAAAGGTCCTTCAGTAACAGGTGTAGTCCAAATAAGTTCTCTATCTCATATTTTGTAGCAGAAGGCTGGAACTCCGAACCTAAAGCATTAAGAGGTGTGGCTGGTTTGCTCTTTGCATTTAATAATTCGTTTTCTAAATGCTTTATTGTTTCACCAGTTTTTTCTTTCTGTAATTCAATAATGCTCTATTATACCCCACTGATGTTTTTCTTTACTTCACTTTTGACTTTGTTAATTGTCATTACAGTCTTGATGTACTTCTTGAATTTTTTCATTAAAGCCTTTCCATACTTCTTAAATATTAATGTTAAATCTCTCTGTACCTCTTTGATAGTTTCATCAATCTCATCTTCAATCAGATTTACTTTTGATTTTAATTCTTCCTTAAATATTACATCTCTTTCTATTAACTCCTCTCTTAAATTCCTGCCATGTTCACCTTAGTCTTATTATATTTTTTGTAAATTTCTTTAAATGCTCTTTCTGTTGATTTATCATGTCCAGCATGTTTCCTATTTTTGCTTTTATCCTTGTGATTAACTTGAATGAAAGTTGAAGTCTAGTCATAGCTCTATTTCATTTTCGCCAAAAACACCCCACTGCTGACATCAGTGTTGTAACGTTGCGGTTCCGTTTGCAGGTTGTTGTTTTTTTTCAATTACCCAGTGAAAATAATTCAATGTCCAGTTCACGTAACACCAGCAATTTAGTTTCTTTCTTTCTTAACGTTTTAGAGGCTTGTACACTTTGTAACTTGTTGTAGGCCTACATTTACATCCATACTATCTTCTCAATACTAACATAAAAATCAACTTGCTTGTACAAAGTAACTCTCTCAATATGCACATAGCTAATACAGATCTGAAAACGGCACACACTGACTGATTTAGCCGCATTTACAAACTAATCCTTGCTTTAGATATTTTGCAAAGTCTCGTTCGTTAATATTCTATGACTAACTTGATGCTCCCTCTAATTAACATCTAAGTAACAACAATAAAAGTGTAACTTATAACATCTTATTAATAAGAAGTTGGAGAACAAAGTTATTATAACTAACAAGGCCTCACTTGGGGCACAGTCCCCTTATTTGAGGAGAGTACTGAAACACTAGAGAGACTACGGGAATTAAACTACTAAATTGTTCCACGGACGAAAATGATCATGGTTTTTTAAAAAAAAAGCGTTGTTTCAAATTGCTTAAAAAAGGAGTCCGTTTTAGTTGGAGTAGGGATGGAGAGTAAAACTGAAAACTTTACTTGTAATTCCATGCTGACTTTTTCCGTGGAAGTTAGATAACGGAAAATATTTATAACCATCTTTAATTTTGGCTTTGCGTTCTTATGAATCTAACTGTGACATCCTTTTTAAATATAACACAAAAGGAAACATAATTTGCAAATAATATAGGCACGTAACTGTTGGTTTCTTAAAAAGAAATGCAAATACCATGAGCCATGGAGTTCTAACCAAGTGTGGACCTTCATTTTATTTTCTTCCCCCCATGGAAATACGTTTCCAATTAGTATGATTTCAAGATACGCCACCATTTGTGGACCTTCATTTTATTTTCTTCCCCCACGGAAATACGTTTCCAATTAGTATGATTTCAAGATATGTCACCATTTGTGGACCTTCATTTTATTTTCTTCCCCCACGGAAATATATGTTTCCAATTAGTATGATTTCAAGATATGCCACCATTTGTGGACCTTCATTTTATTTTCTTCCCCCACGGAAATATATGTTTCCAATTAGTATGATTTCAAGATATGCCACAATTTTTGGACCTTCATTTTATTTTCTTCCCCCACGGAAATATATGTTTCCAAT